TAAACAAATTTATTAATGAGGATAAATAATAAATAAATAAATTTTATTATTATATGACTTGGATAGTACGCGCGTTCCGATATTTTGCCATCTCCGACCGATTACCATGACAACGGTCCGAAAGTCATATTCCCGAGCGCCTGTTTGTTGACATTTTTCAAGGCGCGAGATTTGATTTTTTTGAACTGAATTTGAGAATAACTATACGAGAAGCAAGCAAAGAAAAATTAMGAATGACRAGGAMGAATATTTTTCAAGCGAATTTTATTATTCTGACGAATTTGAGTTGAGGAAAACATGCGTGAAAACGCCACATCCGAAGCGAAGTTTAAACTCCGAGCCAAGGAGTTGTTGTTTCGACAGTTGTTTGTAGAAAAGTAGAAGGCGAAATCACAATACGAAAAACAAGGTCTAATATAAACATTCTAGTAGTAAAGCGAAGGCGGTTGTACAGAGCGGAAAAAGGCAACAAAACACAAGTGACGAAATCTCTAAGCGATGAAGACGAGAAGTCGCTTCGTGACTATACTAATAAAACCCAGGTTAGAAATTCACAGCATCACTTATTAATGTAACTTCAAGATTTCCAAAGGTCCAGTGACGGTTCAACAAGGGAAAAGGCGTCGAAATGCTATCGCTGAAAGCGACGATGAAGATTGAAAACGATTTGATTGTAGATAAAGTAGATAAAGCTTACTGACTTGTTTGTTTTCGTTGTGCTTTGACTAGATGAAAGACCCACGAGTCGATTGTTGTTTTTCTACGAAATAAGTATCTTTCGAGACATTTAAATGATTGTTCTTCTGTGGCATTGATGGAAATTCATTTTAGAATTGTTTTTATAACAGAAATATCTGTTTTCTGGTGTAAAAAACACACATTTTTGACAATTTGATTCCATGTGCTTTGCTTGCTTCAGTCGGACCAATCGATAGTCTAATCGATATTCGCGCGCTGTTTACAGTTTGCTTTTCCGATGTAGAAAAAGTCATATAATAAAAGTGTTATTAACCTCGTTTGCTCGGTCTGTACGGAAAAATATCAGACCTCGGTCTCTTATGTACGGACCTCGGCCTACGGCCTCGGTCCGTACTGTCGAGACCTCGGTCCGATATTTTTCTGTACAGACCTCGCTCTCGGTTAATAACCCTTTAATATTTAATGAGAAATAACACAACTTTACTACCATTGAATAGTAAAATATACCACATATAAAAAAATACCACATATAAAAACAGATGAACAACAAATTTGAAATAGTTTCATTACCTCTCCATTCCTGTATGCCTCTAGTTCTTCATCTGGAGGAGGGAATTCCTACAACAACAGAAAATAAAATTTAACTGGTCTAAGTTGATGAACTTGAATCTACAAGCACTGATTGAGTTATTAAGTGTACTTTCCTTACCTTTTTGAATAACATCACATATCTGTCTACTTCATCTTCACCAAAGGAGAATGTTGTAAGTCCAGCAACTTCAGCAACATCATGTCTGAAATCAATGTTAGTACACAAAGTTTAACCTCCTTAATTTGKATTTCCTGAATTATTTTCAAGGAAATGGAGAGTGCACTACCAAATCCAATATTTCAGCACAACCATCATCCTTGGAAACTTCATTTCACCCAATAAATACAATAAGTGAGACTGGCATATGCAAAGTTTGTTATATATAGAAACCTGTCTTTATTCACTGCTTTCTTGAATTTGATTCCCACCTCTCACCTCCCCCTCCCCCACCCAAAAAAAACGACAACGACAAACAAACAGTAATGAATAAATGATGGAGTGATATAAAATAATCCTAGGTCCCTAAGGAGGCTACATTACATTCCCTTACACAATAGTCCTTTGTATCTTGTTCATTGGAGGATACTTGTGTCTTGTTCGTTTTTCATCTTGAATAAAATCATTGACATCTTTTTCAATCTGAAAATCACAACAATACATCATGTAAAGTTGCTGTACCGCCTATTTACCTTACTTACACAGGCACCCTAACCATTGCACATCATTGCACATGGGGAGGCTGAGACTGATTCAATAAAGTCACCTACCTTTGTTCTAAACTCTGCTTTCTTTTTTCTTTCTTCTTTTTGAATCTTGAGCAATTTGCGTTTCTTCTCTGAATAAATCATTTATGATGTCAATAGAAAGCTACGTCGAAACGTAAGTTATAGGCCACACAACAAAAAGCGTTGATTTGCCAGCGCTTTCTTTCTTAATTAGATTTAAGACACAACAAACAAATTCCAAGAAAACGAAATTCTTCAGTTTGTCGTCCCCAAATCGATTATTATTTATTACATTCAATCTTCATACGAGGTTCCATGAAGGTCTAGGCAGACTTTAWTCTTGCAATGAAAAGTCTGCTTGCAAACACAACCACAAAAACACAATTCTTATCCTACCTTTTTCTTCTTTATTCTCCGTTTTTGGAGGTGCATCCATGCTATCTAAGATAGATCCTAATAAATCCATGTTATTTMTTTCTAATTGACTMAAAGRAGAAAAGTCAGAGACAAAATTCAGGTCTTTTTCCAACAAGGCCTTTCAAACACGATCTCGTCCGCCATCTTGAAACATGTCTCGATACCAATCTTCCTCTGCCAAACGGAGATCCGTCCTGGCGCGCAGATCTCCGCAGWTCGACTGCTGTCWGTTAATTTTCGAAAAAAAAMCTYGATTAATCTTACGCTGCTATAAAACATATACCATTGTATTTTTTTACTGTATTTGAAATATTATGTACTCGAAAAGAAATATTCCACAGGAATCCCAAACATGACGTCACGAATACAATTACCAATGAATACAAGAATTTGCGCGTCTTTGTGCCTTAGGCAATGCAGCGAATCTATCAAACGGCAGTAGTTACAGCATTGTTTATTGTATGTCTACCAAGAACGTACGGTGAGCTTTCAAGCTAAATGCATTAGTTTCTCTCACTAAAATGCTTTTTATTTGCGCAAATTTATGACTCGGTTTCTTTTATGSGATCTCAGCCAATTTTCCTTGAATTTACAAGCTTATTTAATGTTTCACTCTTGTAGCATATATAAAAAGAGAATGCCCAGTCACATTTCGCCTTGGTGTAAGAAACCACTACATMSAGGACTCGCAAATGACATCATCTAGYGACTTGTCATCAAAATACCAGGCCAAATATGGTCGTATTGATGGAAAGAGTGCCTGGTGCCCAGGACCAAGTAAAACAAGCGGCAATATACCGGAGAGCGATGCCTGGTTGCAAGTAGACTTAGGAGTGTCCCATATAATTTGTTCTGTGGCTGTACAAGGRAGCTACAGTGAAAACAAATGGGTTAAGATGTATCGATTGTCTCAMTCAACTGATGGCATAAATTGGATGAAAGAAAGGGTAGAATTATGCAATCAATCATGCAATCAATCAATCAATCAATCTATCTATCAATCAATGAGTCAATCGATCAAACAATCAAACAATCAATCAATCAATCAGTGAAGCAATCAATCAAGCAATTAATATGTGCTATACCGTTTTTAATACTCAATAAAATAATCCACTCTGTGCATTCTRTTTYCAGTATTTTTCGACAGCAAACAGGGATCGTCACACAGTGAAATTCAGCTATCCATATGTTCCTCGCATAGCTCGCTATGTACGYTTYACCCTCGCCAGGAACCGTTACCATAACTGGCCGTGTATGAGAGTCGAGGTCTTTGGAAATAAAGGTATGTCAATAAAGAACACGCAAGCATAAAGAATTGAACGCGCAAACATAGCATCCTTAAAGTTATTATATAGTACTAATAGCAGTCTGATTACAATGACATGGCGTCTCGTTGCGCGCATAAGAGACGAAAAGGGACTGCAAAGGGAAAATACTCTGCGCCATGTTGCGCGCCATGATAGCTATCGTCGTGCGCTGTTTTAACCTACAATTTGTTCAAATGAAGTACGATGCCCTCATCTCTTCCTGAAGCGTAGGTGAAGYACATGCAGCTGAGTCARTGTTATGCCAAGTGATAAGTGCAACGTTCTAACTCACTYATGTTACTTGATAGTTTTTGAATTCAAGAAAAATATCATCRTTTATGACAAAAGTCRCAAAATGTTCATACTGGTAAAGCCCAACGGKGAAGAAGTCCCCGACATGCGAGGCAATGTCAARATGATATTCACTGAYCAAATCACGAAAATACCTGGAAAAACCCGACCATCTAACTACGCCCATTACTTATCCAAGAACAACGCTATATATCCTGATATACCACCTCTTGGTAGTAGTTTATATGCTGGTACACACGTGCTGATTGTATTACCCAAGAACAGATACTTACCAGGTAATACTTACGTTTTATTGAGGCTATCGTCCAAACTTTTGCGTTTTCGTAGTATACTCAAGTGTTTCTCTCTCTTTTTTTGTTCTATTTTAAAAATCTTTGTTGCAGTGTTGCTCATACTATAGCAGACAGCTATATATAACATTTAGTTGAGGTCCGCATTATTAAAAGATAGGCAGTCGAGCTAGGATTGCATGTGACTCAAGTGCCTATGAATACACAACAGGCGGCGATTCCCAGGGGAAATGGAAGGGTCTTTTAAAACTCCCGCTCATTTTTAGTGCATCAAAGACCTTAATTGAGCGGGAGCCGAGCGTCACGCTAAGTGTGACAAGAAACCAAAGGTGCTCGAAATAGAACGTTATAATATGAATCGACATCTTATTTAGATTGCTGATAAAGTTATAAAAGGTCTTTTTTCTTACTTAGATAGTATTTTGGCGATTTGTTCTATACATTTTAAGAGGGTCTCAATGGGGTTAACCGTGAGACGTGAAACGTCTGAAAAATTAGCGCGCTTGTAATTTTGTTGTTGTTGTAAATCAAAAAAAAATAAAAGCTTTAGTGGAGATTTTTGAAAATTTTGCCTTGCAAGAATGTTTTTTCGTTCAGGAATTGCTTTCCCTAAATCTTTCACTTTTCCACCCCCACCCCCTCAAAATTCTAATGGATCGCACCTACCAACAAGGCAAGGTCCTGCAGACAAGTCAGGGCATGGACAAAATTTGACATGTGAGAGTGATGATAAAAAATAATAATAACTGAGTGTCTATTATGCACAAGTGCTCCCACACTCACTATCAACCTTTTGTGATGGTTGATCATTCCTCCCGTTGGGCCTGACGCGGGGCGCCCTGTTTCCCGTTTTCATCGATAAAATGTTTTGATTGTGTTTTTACATCCATGTTTTAAAATTACTATCATCATTCGCCTGATTATTATAGTTTTTCGTCCTCTTCAATTGTTAACATTCACTATATTTATATTCAATGTGTAAACTTTTACCTTCAAGAACGAAAATGTGGAACGTTCTAGACGGCTTTAATTGTATTTCGTTCAGAATCCCAGCAAATATCTGGTTTATAAATTACTTACGTTAACAATCAAGAGATTAATGTGCCGTTTTGTTTATCCTAATASTAATAAGGTCTAATAATGTCTGTCCGATATAAAAACTGTACACCTGATTTTCCTGTGATGATTTGGAAAACAATTACCGTCGACAAGTGAACAGCTCGGTGAAATCCGTCACAGTACATCGAGTACATAGTATTTGGCCGCAAAGCTGCACTCAGCACCCATCCCCTCCCCCCATCAAATATAAAATCCACTGAAGAATGATTATGCAAACCCTGTATCTTTGCTAATTACTGAACTGAGCTCTGATTGGCTCGCTGCTCCCTAAGGATTTTGGTGACGTCATATATTAGCATAGAACTTCACCGAATAGACTACCCCAATTAGGTATTAGATATCTTAAGTGTCTTCATAGTACGATGGTCTAAGAGGGTAGCTAAAGGTATGCTCTAGTGGGCGGCTACCCCCTCACTCCCTGGCCTTTTGGTTAAGACTAAGTTTTATGTTCACTCGGGATAGCGTAGAAGGGCCGAAATCTCTAACCGTAACGTAAGCCGATTCGCCGCCTCAGCTTCATAGAATGTCTCGGGGGAATCGTCCCATCTTTTTAGCTTTTTATTTTCATTATTTCCTATGTATTCCGGGGGGTGCATCTTCTCCTTAAGTGAAAGTTCTGAGTTCGAGTCCTGCTTCTGGGATTTCTCTTTTTTTCGCTTGTTTATTGTTTCGTTTTCGCTTGTTTATTGTTTTCTTTTCTTCTTTCTGTTTTTTTTCCTTTCTTTGCTGTTGTTACTTCGTTTGTTTGTCTAGACATTTTCTCTTTTCAACTTTTAAGTTTAAAACATATCGAAGACTTGCAAGGAACGCCTGCTACAAGTGGGTTCTTAAAAAAAATAGACAAACGATAAGGAAACGCATCATTGGTCATGAAGCCTTATTCACTGAACTGAACTGTATTATTTTGATGATTTTACTTGATTGCTGATCGATGATTCGATCAATTGATTGATTGAAAGCTAGAGAACGAAGGCACATGCCGTGCCACGCCCATAAAACGATTKAMTGAATTATTTGGTTRATWGGWTGTTTTTTATTGAAACGATTCTTCTGATAATGTTTTACAGGGAAAATAATCRMTGCGGTTGGCAACAATCTGTATGAAGTTAGAAGATCTGGTTAGTCAMAGTTTCAGTTTAGACATTTTCTTTTTTTCCAGTTTYCGACACAAATAAAAATTGTRAACATTTTTCATTTAGATAACGGGAAAACAGAGGTGATGCGAAGAGATTACTTCCGTCTGAAGGGTGAGTATTGCTGTGYGCATTTCAGAGTCGTACTCTCACTAGCCTGATCTCAGTTCTCAGAAGATTATTATCATTGAACCAGTTTAGTTAAATTTAATTTAGGTCGCCTATGACGGACAAAACGAACCCCCCATTTCTAAGGCAGCCTACGGGGCTGTATACAATGCAATTGGCTCAGAGATTTGCTGAAGGGCTCTACGAAACTGATTATAATTCATCATTATCATGTATGGTAGAATTCTCGCTTACATGTAAATCGGGCTCCACGAAACTGATTATAATTCATCATTATCATGTGTTGTAGAATTCTCGTTTACATGTAAACCGTTTACATCAAAGCTAATCAGTTTCATGTATTGCGTTTTGTAAGGATTGGATCCATGTGATCTCGACAATGAATGTCCCAAAGACACAACATGCCATAATGATTATCTAGGCAGACCAGCTCGTTATTACTGTCTATGCCATAAAGGATTTACTGAAGCATTTCAACGTACGTCTTGGCTGGGAAGATGTCGAGGTAAAATATAGTATTTATCTATGTACACTGCGGTTATCATCATTTCTCCACTGAATCAAGGGACATCCAGGATTATAAAAGAGGGTTTTAAAATCAAGATGGCGATAAACTGCTATAAATGCAAGCACTGTGGAACATAATCTTTATTATCTTTATTGGGAGGGGGGCTGCTAAATCGGGACGGGACAACGTTCGAGAAGCACCAGATTAATTTGGCGAATGTTTTCAAAATGGTGGCCAAAA